CCCCCCCCCCCATATACAACTTCTGTGAAAGACGGAAGCACTTGGAAGAAGTCCGAGAGCAGCAAATGCTAACTGGAACCAGTCGATGCTCGAAGACTGGTTATGGCGGACAGACCATGTATTCATTAAGAAACAGTATAGAATATGCTCTTCTGGACGTGCATAGAATATGTTTATAATGAACAGTACCACACCGTTTTTATACAGAAATATTGAAAGGTACAAAAAAAAGTAGAGATCTGATGCGTAGTGGACAAAAAAATCTAGGACCTAGCATCGTCAAAAATTTCAAGATTTCAGAGAAGCCAGAAAGCCAAATTCAGAGAAGCCAGAAAGCCAAAAAAATCGGACGCAAAGAATGCTTCAATTTTGCCACTTCAATTGCATTTTCTGGCTAAATGACCATAAGGACAACATTCGCTCCTCAAATGGATGGCATTCTGGATATTGTGTTAACCAAAAAAGGAAGTGAGACTTGCCACGAAGAGCAAAAACTGCTCGCTTTGTTGATAACGAGGATAAATGACACTCAACGGCGGTATTTAAGGGGACGAAAGTAACCACTCTGTGGACAAACTGGTCAATAACCAGTGTACAGGGTGGAGGCAGCGGATGATAAACGAAGGTAAGTTAAGCGAAACATGGCAAATTGCCAAAGGTTACACGAGCGACACTGAGTGATCCTAATTTTTATGATGTAAAAATATAGCAGTTCACCTGATATGCAACTGCAGAGGGAGTTCCAGCTGCTGAGAGCCGCTTCTCAGGAATATTTTGAAGCTATCTGTCAGTGCGGGTGCTTCATCGGTCTTCTCCGGAATGACAACAACTGGCAACGAAAATATAATCAGCTGAAAAAAAAGTACTTTTTGAGCAAAAGACATACAACGGCAATTCAATTATGATGACGAAGACAACTGGACGGTCGGCGTGGATATCCGATTGTGATTGGTAGTACAGGAACGCAAATACATATATGCCGGGCTTGTTTGCTCCGAGCTACACTATTGGTACCCGCCGTATCTTTAACACATGTGTTCCAATTTTCTGGCTGGTTATTTTCGTGGGAAGAAAAAAGACCATTCGAGAAGCATTTTTTCCAGGAAAAAACCTGCTCAAAATGCATATCCCAGAAAAGCCAATCGAGCGGGTTTCATTCAGTGGTACATGTGACGCTCAATAGTTGTTAGGAAAACAAAAACAAGGGCATTATCCCGGGAGATGAAGAGGCCCTAAAATGGGGAACACTCGCTTTTCGCATCCTTAATACAGGCATGATATGAGCGCCATAGCATTACAAAGGTACCACAAAATAAGGCAGGTGAAATGGCAAGTGGAGGCCATTGTAAATCCACGATTTACCTTATCATACACTTTGAGTCGCTCGGCTGGTAACATTCGATTACCAATATCCACGAATATGCTGGCATCACTCAGTGATTTGTTCAACAGCAACCACACAACCTCTTTTTTGTTCTTCACGGCACTATGACTTAATTGAACCACCTCAATCGGTGCTGCAAAAGTAGAAAAAAAAATATATATATTTTTTTGCTCTTCATGCTACTTTCGATGATATCCAACAGCCTTCAGGCAAATTTCCCTTGGAACCTTTCCCTGGAACAACTAACTTAATCTGGACATCAAAAAATTCAAAAAGCAAATAGAGTGTTGAAAAAGTATGACAGTCTCTTTGGCGATCTTCCATTTCTTCGCAAATGATCCTACGGATAAATGTGGCCAAACAGTCTACAAATTCCAGTAGTTTTTGATAATTCGTTTGTCTGAATTAATTAGCTGCGGAACCACAAAGCCAGGTAATTCAAATTCTATCATCAACAGCCCCTATTCACATACGGTCCACAAATCTCACGGCGATTTTTCGAATTTGCTCGAGACAAGTTCGCTACACCTAAGAAAAGCTTCGGGCAGCACTTAACCTTCTAAAATGTCGCTGTTTTCTGGAAAGTCTAAAAGGAAAGTTTCTAAAAAGTGTTTATAAAATAAAAGTTTAAAAAAGTCGCTGTTTCCGTTTTTGGAATGCTGGAAAAGTCCGCTACAATGGCTAACAAGTTTCTGTCAACAGTGGCTGAGAGGATGCTTATGATTTCACGGAAAATTGCTCATACGCTAACTGGTTTTCCTAGCAGTGGCTGTAAAGTGGTATTCGCACTGGTCAACCTCATGTGAATCCACTTCTGGTCACCTGTTTTTCCCATTCTTCACACAGTATTTTTCACAGCTACACATTTTTCAGTTTGATTTCTATTATTTCGCTTAAACTGATCTCACTAAAAATTCGGATGCAAAACTAGGCCTTCGCAAGTTTCTAAGAATCTAGTAGCCGTACTGTTATCGCGATACATCACATCCGAGACGATTACTGAGGACGAGGAGGCGGTTGCTGCCTCAACCATTATTCGGACACTTTCGTCCTTGTTGCAGCTCCCTTTTAGTCCCGTGTCTTCACTCTGCAAATTTGCTCCGGCCAGCGCTGTGGACTGGTTCTCGTCCGACTGCGCTGGATCCTCGATGTATAAATCTTCAAACCTGAAAACTATTCTCACATTAAGACTGGTCAGATTACTCGATTTTATCATGCTCGAAAAACTATCTGCTGGCTGTGGCTGTGTTTGAAACCAGCTGTAGCTCCTAGCTGATCAACAGCCTGAGAATCCTGGACAAATTTAAATCGCCTCTTCTGCTGACCACCAGTCACCGGCAATTCAACATGTCCACTGGGTCCCCAGCCTTATCATTCAGCAAGACACTACGACTGTTGTCCAGGAGCCGCGCTTTCGGGCCACGCCAAAAATTTTAAAATATTGTCAACCACTTATCATTTTTATGCGTTTTTGCATAGATGTAAATTGCAAAAACGCATATTGGGAAGAGGCTTTGTGTGTGTGGCTGTA